GGACACAGAGATTCAGATGCAAATGTCAGCCTTTGGGTTCATAGCTATATTGAGGGAAATCCCAATGACCCTTGGGAGACAGAAGGACTTTTATATACCACATTCTTTTTTTTTTTTTAAATACCACATTCTTATAGACAGTAAGTTTCTGCTCACTCCTGTCTTGTTAAAATGGATCACACACTCTTTGTATGGAAGAATCTTTTCAGCAAATGTGGTTTAACTCCAAATAGAAACATTGCTTCACTCAGGAGAATGTGAAAGACTGGAGGAAATAAGACCCAAGAATATAGTGATGAATTATTGAGTTTTCTTTTCCAATTTGGCAATAGTGAATCCAAATCAGATTTTGCTAGTGTTAGTGGACAGGACGTTGTCTAGGAGCCAATAACTTTTTAATTCCAATTAGATCGTCGTGACAGCTGAGAGGCTAAACAGAACCAGAAGGTACAGACAATGGAAAGCAAACCTTCCCTTCAAGACCCCAGGCAGGGTCAAGGACAAAGGGACTGGGCAGCTGCTGATCCTGAAACCTGCAGCATGCACTTGCAGGGAACAAAGCTGTGGGTCTTCAATTTTAGATCACATCTGGATGCCAAATGATCACAATCTTGGAATAAAGGTAAAAGGAAAAAATGTGTCTGTTGTGAACTTGCACACGCTGGGCTACCTGGTAGCACCTGGCACAGGAGACACACATCCCAGAAAGACTAGTTCAGTGCAGAGTGAGTCAGCTTCCACATTCCACCAGCAGCAGAGAGGCAAACCACTGTCAATGGGACAAAAAGAAGGGATCCAAAAAGCTAGGAGCTGAGTGTTAAATATGAAAAATGCAAGACAGTGAATATGGCTTTATCAATCAGTGAACCTATTGCCATACGAGTGTGGCAGTGAAGTCACTGATATTCCAGAGAAGGTATCTTAAAATTTTTGTACTTGTATTGTAGCTATACAGCATCCTTTACATAAACTACATAAGTGGTAGCTGAACGAGTCTGCTCTAATGAAATCAGAGGTACCCCCCAACACTCACCCCCACTTTCTTCTCTCTCCAAAGAAAAGGCCATGGCACAAACATGTCTAGATGAACACATACCTCAAAGTTTGAAGTATCATCACACAGGAGAATTTATTTCCACTGATTAAAGAGGCCAAAAAACTCTGCACCAGCTTGATAAACTGACAGATGCCTTCACTTCGTTATTTTCTGCCTTCTGCTTAGCTGTGTTCTCTATCAGATTGAACTTCCCTTTTCAGACTCCACATCTATCCTTGGTTCTGACCACACTCCTACCTACCAGACCAAAACCCTCCTAAGGGTGTCATCAGCCTTCTTACCCACCCTGCCTCTTCTGTTTTCAGTCTTAGTTACCTTATACCAACTTTCAGCAAAACTCAAGGTCAACCCCTTGAATGTCACCTTAACTTCCTACTTAGCATTTTTTATATACCAAATTTTATCATTTCTCTTTTAGAAATGTTTCCCAATTCTTCCCCTGTAACCTTATTTCATTCAGGATTCAATTATTTTTGCCTGGGATTTTGCATAAGCTTCCTAGTTAATTAATCTTTACACCTATAATAATTAGTATAATTGCTCTCATTTCTTAGCAGTTTCTACATATGAGATACTTTGCTAAAAGTTATAAATACATCTTCTCATTTAATCCTCCCTGTCTAATTGAGAATTTTTATTCCTAGTATACAGACATGAAAAATGAGAAATTCAAATGCCTGTAAATCATCACATCAAATAAGAGGCAGGGACTTTAACTCTACGTTCATTTGACTTGTTAAGTCTTTCACCCAATTTTCTTTCCACACCCTTACCAGAGGTGGCTTTCTGACACACAGATTTAATGATGTCATTCTCACATACATAGGGTAGAGCCCAAACCCATTCATTGACCTGTTGCCCCAACACAATCCCTTGTCATGGTGACTTTCCATAATTCCCTATAACAGACTCTTCTATTAATGTCTTTCATTCTTCCATCAACTTCTAGACCCCCCCTCTCATGGATGCTCATCTACCTCTGGTATCTTCTCCAAGATGGACAATGATGTCTTCTTCAACATCAGTTTCATAAAACATTGTTCAGAAGGAAACTGCCATCTCCCTGATTCAGGTTATTGGCAGTTTTATCTTTTTTTTTTTAAAGATTTATTTATTTATTTATTTATACAAGCACTGGGTACAGCCAGAAGCACGGGAGGGTGAGAGAATTCACCATAGCCAGAGCGGGGAGCAGAGCAGGCAGAAGGACCAAAGTAGGAGAGGCGGGGAGCAGCGGGCAGCAGGAGAGGTCTGCGCACCATGTGGGACCCTCCTCCGGTGGCCGGGGTGCGGCCGGGGATTGAATCAGTGCTGCAGAGGCTGCGGGCAGCTTCGCAACCCAGCGCTCAACTGCTGCGCCACCGGGGAGGCCCCGGCAGTTTTATCTTAAATGAGCTAACTACCAAACAGTGGAGCACCTCACCAAAGGGGGAGTAGTCATGGATCGCCAAGGGTCTCAAAGTGAGAATGTCTAATACTAAATCTTTATCTCTCTCATGCTAAAACCCACACTTTGCATTACCTAATTTGATAAACCATCTGCCTTCCTTTTGTAAATAACTTCCTTCCTCACTAATCAATGACCAAATCCTTGAGACAGATCCCTGCACAACTCTCAAATCCATGTCTTCTCTTCACTTCTTAGTCATATCCTTGCCCCATAAGAGGACCCCAGGGTGCAGACTATTTACATGTCTCTCACTAGCTTCCTTATGCTAGCAATCTGAAGACATTTGTGACTTCTCCATACTAGACTATAACTTCCTTGGATACTTAAATCTTGTCTTAATTTTCCCCTATTATTCCCTTGGTAACACTGTGCCTTACATAATAAGTGCTCAATAAATAGACTTTGGAAATAGAAAATGAATTATCTTAAAGTGATTGTGTTTATTCCCCCAAAGAGTAGCTCATTTGATAATTAAATATTTAGTCTAACTTCTTCCCACACCAAATAACAATGTTAAATATGCACACAGACACAGCACACACAGTATGCCCTTAGCTACCTTTAATTCAACCTTCTAGCAAACACAAAGATTTATCTCCCAAATAATTAAAACATTAATTGCTCATATTGTTCTTTTTTTGTTTCTGGTCTTCCTTTAGGAAAATGACACAATGCTTTGCAACAAATGAGAAATTATTTTGCAAATCTGTATCCTCAAAATGCCACCAAACATGGGTCATGCTTCTTTCTCTCTCACATTTTGATCCCATTGCTATGACTTAGTGTGGTAATTGTATTACAAAGCTATTATTTGATGAGATGAAAATGGCAAAACAATTTAAATGCTTGTCTAAAAAAGAATCCGTTAAAATGCAATTATAAGTGAAATTACAATGGAAAAATAATTGAAATGAAAGTCTGGAAGGCACAGTTATGAAACCATTAAAATGCTTCTGTTGGAGACTCACAATATTGAGTGAAACTATACACTCCTGGGGACACATTTTTAATTCACTAAGCCAGGCAACATTATGGGAGAGATAAAAGTGTCTGTGCTCCAATTGTTCCACAGCATTATCTACACTTCTGAATGCCACTGGGCATGTGTAACACCAGGGCTTATAGGTCCATAGGATAGATTGATAAGAGAACCATGTGTGATACTGTGTTCCCACTCGGCATCGAGAAGATAAAGACATGGGTAAGTCTCACTTAGATTTTTCTGAAATGTTCCCAACATAAAAGCTAAGATTACTACAATAACTTGTCTGCAATTATTAGATATTTTGTGTGGATATATTTCTATAAAACATCCTGCTGATATATTCCTTTAGCAAGATCTTGGGAAATATTTGAAACCCCCACTTACAGTAGGTATACTTGATCACTGAAGGAAAGGGAAAACACAATATGGTGCTAGATACAGAAGAGATTTGCTTAAAGGAGCATTCTGACAAATGGCTCAGGACCCTCCTCTGAACTATGGTCTGCATTTTTTGACAGTTCAACACACAGATGAGTCTACCAGCAAAAACAAGTAAAATATGACCCCTCCATTCCTCACTGCCTGCTTTCATGGCTCCATCTCTTTCTCTTAGTTCAAGAAACAAAGGCTAGTGACAGCTTATACAAAAGAAACAAGTTTTAAAGGAGTAAGAAGTAGTGATTTTCTCATTCATGACTCTCTTTTTGGTTTTCATAGTGGAGTTCAAGAAATACTATTCAGGTCTTTTTTTCCACACAGAAAACTGACTCAGCATCAATGATTATAACATTACTTAACAAAGTTACTAGGTTTCCACAAAAGGAGTTATATACTTTTGTTCTTCAAGCTGTCATTTAAAAAGGTCCCTTGGAAATAAAGATACCCAGTATACTTACTCTTTCACAGACTCTGAAATACATTAAGATATTCTCTAAGGTGTGCTTAGCGAAAGGGGTTTGGAAGTCCTTATGACTAAAGCACATGTTTGAAGTGAACTCTTAAGTTGTTGGGAATATCCCACTGTGGGCCTTATTCTTATTTTCCCACACCAGGGAAATAAGTGGGTGTGTTAACTATAGCTTTGTAGTAATATGAAACTTGAGTGCAAGGCAACTTTAAAATGAAAATCCAATCTGCTCTCTAGATATTTTAGAGAGGTCAGATTATTTTTAATATATAATTTAAACAGTATTATAATTTAAAATAATTTTTTAATCATATGAAGAAGTGAGGTTTTCCTACTTTAGGCACAAAGGTATGAAATCTGAAAAAGATAGAAAAAGTTATCTAGAGAATATTCAATGGATAAGTCTAACTGAAGGAAAGAAACAAGACAACATGCACGCAGATCATACCTTACAACTCTTAACTTTCATATATTTAAAATTTTTCATAATAAAGTATTAGAAAACATGCAGCACTTTAGATGAAAAGCATATATTCTATTTGGTAACTGTGTTCAACAAAAAAACACTTTCAGAATTTGTCTCATGACATGATGCACCCACCTAGCCATCCGGATCCTGAATTTGGTATGCACAGGTCTGTCTCTGCGCTGGGCAACACGAAGCCAACGACAAACACCTCCACACCATCCGCCATGAGGGCCATGCCTAGCACAAAGAAGAGGGCCCACTGAAAACGGCCATGACCACATTCTTGGATGATCAGCTCATACTGCTGGGCTAGTTCTTCCTCATCAGCTCTCCGCTCTGACTCCAGGTCCCGTCGGTCCTTATATTCATCGCTCTTGGGCTGCCCCACCGATACAATACTGTCCTTCCCTTGGTTTGTATTGGGGATTCCCTGATACTCCCCTTCATAGATTTCATCATCTTCATCATGACCCTCAGTAGCTTCACTGGAGCCTTCATCGTCACGGGCCTCCCCATCATAGGTTTCTCCAGGTGGGTAATAATCATCATCTTCTTCTTCGTCTTGGAACCGATGGTAAGACCTCTGGGTGTATTCATCCTGGGCTCTGTCCACTGCTTGATTCACCTTCTTGACTGTTTGCTTCTTCACCTCTCTGGCAATGTCCTTGGCGCCCTTCATCAGTGAAGTCCTATCCTTGTAAGAGTCTTCCATCTTCTCTCAACAGATGGCCAAAGAGAAAATGACAACTGTGCACAGCTCTGGTCAGTGGTTCAGCCCTGAGAGCATCATCCACCTTGGCTTCAAAACGGATCTATGAGAGAAGAAAAACAACAAAGATGTTATTATCCCTTTCTGTGTCTTTGTCTCTATCTGTTTCTTGGTCCCTTTTCATTGCCCCCACAGACCAAGGCATAATAACTAGCATTTCCTTTCCTGATGTCACAGAACACACACACACAGAGATGCTAGCTCTTTGCTCAAGGGTGAGCAGCACAGAGTATTTAGGGCTTTGACTGTTGTTATTATTGTTCTGTTTTTAAGTAACTATCTCCACAGACTGTCTAAACAAATATTCCCCTGAGAACAAAATAGGACACCTTGCACCTTTAAAAGTATATCCAACATATTTTAGAAAGTGCTGGAAGGAAATATCCTGATTGAGAAAAACGTTATAAACATATGGCAAAGGTCAAGCAGGAATATTAGAAGAATCCTGTCTGACCTATTTCCTCATATTGGAAAAAAAAAAAACAAACAGGCAAGCAGCCTACCAATGCTATCAATACACATATTTGCATTTGCATCTATATAATAACCAAATATATTTGTAACTGCATTTCCCCTTTGTTTTCATTGTATCTCTTTCCAATAAATGATGATAAAGACTCAAAAGTCACCCAAAAATGACAATAAATATTTTTTGCTTAGTATAGCAGAGAGTCTGGGGAAACTGGCAGAGTTCATCAAATGATTTCCTTTGGTGATCATTGACTTAGAATCTGTACCTCTCCAGGAGGGATCTGCCCCTTCAGGAACCACCCACCCTCCAGCCCTCCTGCAGCAAGGACCATAAGTCATCTGCAATGTTCCTTCACAAATCCACCCTGTAAGGACTCCAGCTTTGATTCTGCCTTCTCAGCTCTGCCTCCACCACACATGCACTCCCTCCCACTTGGGCCCTCTGCCAGTCAGGTTGGCCACGGCAGTCCTGAATGCCAGCGTCAGCAGTGTCCCATGCCCATCACTGGGTTGTCCCTATGTCTTGGCTCATTACATTCTGGCTGACCTCATGGTAACTCATCTTTCTCTTGTCCACTAAGTTGTCTCCTCTGGTGGTTCAAGTGAGCCAATGTCAGGCCCATCCTTGTACATAGATGATATTAAGATGAAAGCTCATTCTCCATCATTGCTACTCTCCAGACTCCTCTGTGGAGCTGGGCTATTCTCCAGTGAAATTTTAAAGGTACATTTTTTCAGGGAGAATGGGAACATACTCAGAGTGTCCAGCTGAGTCTAGGAAGAGCGCAATACTCCCGGATTCCTATCCCCAAGGAGTTTCCAGCAGGACCCTATCACCCCTTGGAGAAACCAGATGCTTGAGGAACATTAAACAATCTGCATAATTAAGCATAATCAGTCACAACACTGTCATACACAATTCCTTCTCTAAATAATAGTGAGCTATTCTCTTCCAGTAAGTAACCAAAGTCAGAAGTTACCAGACTTGAAAGGGACCATCTGTGAATGTGGTCACTTAGAGTGTATGTGGCCAGTTCTTTTTCCAGTGTGACTTAATGAATCCTGTGATGGGAAACAAAGCCAGGAACTGAGTTCCTTCCCAGAAACACAGAGGTTAACACAATGGCTCCTCAGGGCTTGTGAAAGGCAAAGACCAGGACTCCCTTGTGGTGCAGCGGTTGAGCACTGGGCTGTGAGGCTGCCTGCAGCCTCTGCAGTGCCAGTTCGATCCCGGCCGCCAGGTGAGGGTCCCACATGGCATGCAGAACTCTCCTGCCATGCCTGCTACTCCCCTCAGCAGTGTACTTCGTCAGTCTGCCTGTTCTGCTCCCCGCTCTGGCTCTGGTGAATTCTCTCTCCCTCCCATGCTTCTGACTATACCTAGTGCTTGTATAAATAAATAAATAGAAATCTAAAAAAAAGAAAAATCTTTTTTTTAAAAAAAAAAAGAAAGGCAAAGACCAAGGATTTCACTCAACAATTTTATTTTCTCTCCAGGGATAAAGAGAGCCTCCCCAAAATGCAATCATTTATTTAAATATTAATCACCTTAATCACCTATTATATGTGCCACACACACTCTTCTAAGGGCTGGAAAAAAAAAAAAAAGAGATTGAGCAAGACACACAAAGTTCCTGACTGCATAGAGCTCTCTTTCTGAAAGTGGCCACAAAGATAAGAAAACAAATAAACATAAACTTTATGTAGAAGCAAGAGTTATTGATACAAGTAACTTTTTTTCCCTGCTCTTTTCAGGAATAAGAGCAGTGCTGGCCCACAGTAGTCTCTGTGATGGAAATGTTTTACATTTGTGCTGTTCAGTAAAAATAGGATAAAAATTTACATTGAAAAAACTATCCCTGCCTCGTAGCTACCCTACAGGACAGTGCACGGTTGGAGAGGGCAGGAGGTGCTGTTATCCTAGGAGGAGGGGGCCAGGTAGGCCTCTGAGCAGAAGAAATTTGAACAGAAGCCTGACTAAGGCCAGGGCATAGGCCATGCTATTCCCGGAAGCTCAGAGCTGTCCAGATGCAGAAGAGCAAGCGCAGGCCCTCCTGTGGGGGATGGGAGAAGGCCGGTGCTATGCAGTCAGGGAGGGGTCTCAAAGGGAGCAACTAAGGACAGATCACAAGGGATCTGAGGGACATGGTGAAGGGTCTTAGGTTCTACTCTTAGGTGGGATGGGTTTAGAGGAGGGGACCAAGAAGAAAGAAAAGCCTGTTTACCTAAACATTGGAAATGTCCCTTCTTTTACAATTTTCATTAGTCCTGCTCTCTCATCTCTATCTGATAGAATCTGTCTTCTGATTACTATCATTTGATACTGAATATGACAACTTTAAAACAAAGGCAGTATTTATTACATGTCTTTTAAGACTGGTTTGAGGAAGGAGGGTGATGGTCAGAAGAAAAGTGTTTCAATGCATGTGACAGATTTCAAAGGGAAAACTCCACCTGTTGGTTATACCTGGTCAGTGCTTAATAAGGACCTGGGGACAGCTGCACGCTCTTCCAGCTTCACTCAGTTCTTCATCAGAGTGATTACGAATCAGGACTGGTTACAGCTTTGTCTGCTTACTCATCACAGGAATTATAAGGAAAAGAACAGGGCATATCTTGCATATATAAAAGTTGGCTGTGAAGCCCATCAAAAGAGGGTGTCAGACCATTACTTAGGACTCAAAGATGGAAAATGCAGAGTCAGGCAACTCGTACACCACCACAGTAGAACACACTCACTCGTCCCTAAACTTGTACAGAAACTCCATGCATTCCCGGAGCAGACAGGTGTCCTAGACGTCAAAATGACCCCGATTAGACAAACTCTGACCTTGTTGCTGAGTCACACACAAGCTCAGTTTCGATGCTGCCTTTGCTGTTTACCAGCTTTGTGACACTAGGCAAGTGATTTATGGTCTTTCTCCAGTTCTCAATGGCCTTATCTGTAAAGTGGGAAATCAAAACGCCGTGTGTGTGTGAGTGGGGCAGGGAGACTTAATTAAAATAGCATTAAGAGGCAACACTGGGTACATGGTACCTGCTCAGTGTGTGCTCGTTTACGTGAAATTAAAGAATTGAAAAATGTAATTTATAAGTAAAATTCATCTTCCAGCAGTAAAATTCAACTTCCAGAAAATTCTGGCAGTTTTCCTCTCCATGAAAGGAGAAATGACAATTAAGGATAGGCTGGCCTGCTCCTCACCAGCCAGGAGCACAGGCTGGGCATCCAGAGGTGACAGCAAGTGCTTTCGGAAGAGATTTATCCCAGGTGTTTATGGCTGTTACTGAGATACACCCTGAGGTTTAGCTCCAAGGAAAGCTCTAAGAAGAACATCTATTTGTCTGCCTGTCTTTTCTGAGTCAGGCAATATGATTAGCATACTTACAGAGTTTTAATGTTATTTAAAAACATAGCCAGATTTATCAAGATGGCCTCATTCATATTACATCAGTAACAGCAATGCCCTTTCTGCTGGATCTCCCTCAACTCCTTGGACTTAAACAGGAGGGAACAGAACCCCGATCCCACTCTTGTGCTGTTCTCTCCTTAATGCCTGAAAATGACATATTTTCTTTCTGCTTGCCCATGTTTTACTTAGTAAATATTACCTTTTGCAAGGCTCCCAGGGCGGTGGCTACAAAAGCAGCTGCCTTTGTTTACTTCAGCAACCCAGAGACTTGTGATAATACCCCAGGGTGTGATCCCCAGGGGATGCTCTACTCAGTGTTCCCAATGCCTGTGGCCTAAAAGGGAGGCACCAGCTACATCCCTACCGCCTCCAACCTGGCAAAGCACAGGTGCAGCGTTGAGACAAAGATGTTTTAGTGGTGGGCGAGTCCCCAGCAAGCTCTGCACAGCAAGAACTTGTCTCAATATTCCACATTCTGTGCAGGGATTCCTTGGTACAAAATGCAACTGATTGCTGAGAAAGCACCATTCAAGACAGGTCTCCAGTGTCTAAGGAAGTACCTACTGGAAGTGCCGATTTGTACGAGGAAGTAGAGCATAGAAGGAGAAGATGGGGGGCAGCCACTGGCAAATGGGTGCCCTCCACTATTTCCAACAAAACTTTTTCCTTTAATGTCACTGGATGAAAGAGCCGCTCCACTAAATCATGCACAACACATAAAGAATGACTAAGGTGTTCCTAAAGTACTCATCCCTTTGTTGAAGAGTCTCCTTTAAATCCTTGGTCCAAAGAAATGCATCAATTATGGATTTTCAAGCTAAGTAATTGGGTTTATAAGCTTGAAACTAGGGGACAAGAGAGACTTCTTGATTTAAATACTGCCAAGTGAGCTACTGAATATTCCCCCAAGGTATGAGAACAGATATTACTCAAGGAAAGTCAGAAGTCATCCATCCACCCCACCAGATGACTGACTCCTTAAAGGAAGGAACCATGCTTTGCTTCAGCTCATATTCTTGCACGCAAGGCAACCTTGGACACTCATTCAACTTACAGCTATTTTTCATCTACACAATAGTGGTGTTCAGACTGTCTTAGACAACATTGTACATGTGGAAATTAAAGGCACAGGTCTTTGCCATAGTGGAACATCCAACAAATA